GCCTTCGATTCTCATTTCTCAAAGGTCTTTTGCTGATTTTTTATTTTATTTTTTGTTGGAAGGCGTGGGGGATGGGGGGTGATTATGAGAAGGTAATAGGTGATTTTAAAAGGTAAGAGGATGATTAGATATGGGAATAGAAATTTTTATGGATTTTAATATAATTGATGGACACCATTGGATTTTTATAAATTAAGAGTTCAGATTATTTGTCAAAAATTTGTCTAAATGTGTTGTTGATAGGCATAATGCTATACACAAAGTGTGATTTTCGGAAAAAGGAAACATATTCATTATATTCTGTAACTGTGGATCTAGATATAGACACACGTGTTCGAAGTACAAAAATAGGAAACTAGAATTTTCGAACTCCTCGATCGAGGTTGGACTTGGCCAAAATTATATGGTGATTCTTACCATATCTCTTCGTGCTTCTTAGTGGAATTTGTGAGAACTATTACAAATGGCCGGGTCACATGAGATTGATCTAAAATAAGTCCATAGAGTGCTAAGGCAAAGGATAACATGGCAATCCTACAAGCTGCATGCCACACCCCAACTCGTATCGATAACTATATATTAACCTGTCTGGGAATGAAATTAATGGCTCGACCTAGGTATAGAATTTCACATATACTTTTTTTTTTCACCTGATAAAATGAAATAAGTATCTTCACAATTATGTCTCCATTTGTTAACTCCTAATAACTTGTGATGATCATATGGTATAACGAAATCAAAGATCATATAACCAAAATCCAACATACATGTTCTGGGGTTATAAACGTATCTACAAGCCATTTCAAAAGGGGTATACATTACTGGATCTCCAAAATATAACAACAGACTGCAAGCTTAAAACAACAGCCCACAAAATAACTCTACAGATCGTCATCCATGTACATCAAACTCTAGAATTTCGTAAAAACTCCATAGCTAGCTGTGCTCTCTATGTAGTTTCATGCTCACCTACAATACAACAATTACATAAACCAATGCTTAGTAAGCAAAAATAATGCATGTCATGAGTATGAGTAACAATGATGTATGATACTGTGCCATTTACTTTAAACACCACGCTAAAGATACATTATATTCCAATATTCATCAAAGTCAACTCGAAATAATTTCATTTAAAATCTTTCATTTTATTGGGCTCTTGACCCACCTGCTATGTACTGGATAGAGCTCTGTATAATATCAATATCAATAATCAAATGACCAATATGAAATCGACACCAACGAGTTGACCATCGTCTCTTGACCATTAGACGCCCATCCACTAACTACCTCTATGATCCCACAAGAAGTATCCCACCCAGCAGCGCCAATAATCATAAATCGCAAGGGCACAATCTGAGTGGTCAATCCTCCTGTGATCATTAAAGGTCCATCCCTTGTCTACCTTTACAATCACCCAAGAAGTATCACCCGCGATTCCAAAACATATAACATAAGGATGCCTCGATACCCTAATAGTGGTCAATAAAACATTTATAAGGAAAACTCAATTTGAAATCACATTTCACATGCAAGATTTTCAACCATGATCATATGTCGTGCATGCAGATGAAAATGCTCATTAATGACATATTTAATGAAAATCGATGTCAATAGGTTTCGCAACCTCATACTCAATGATCATAACCATTATATGATGTGCAATAAGTCTCTTATCAAAGTTATGTAAAATATTCAAATATTACCATATCACAAATACTAAGTTCTTGCATTGTAGTTGAAAATGGATTTTTACCTACCTTTTGCCTTTGTGTGCAAGCTCCTATGGAATGTATACTAGTTTCCTTTTTCACTCAACATCAAAAAATCACATGTACTATCATCTAATATTAAAGACAATCCTCCATTTAATAACCTTCAGACACACAATCCCAAAATATATTTATTCATGCCAAAACAATTTAGACGAAATTATAATTTTAAGTTACCAAAATCATTACAAACTAGCCCCATAAATCTTGTTATTTCTCGAGCCCAATTATGACCGTCAACATCATGCAATTGTTGTCAACAACCTAGTACTCCTTAGAATCTATTTTCTAGGCCCAAGAGATGATTAATGGACATGCAAAGGTCGAAACTACATCAAACACGTAAATTGACAGAATATGTTTTGCAGTTTTCCATCACCATCCAACTATTTTTCCAATCATTTTTCTCCCCCTTAACCTTATCCAATGACTCCCAAATTTTTACCATATTTCTATAACATGTATATGAAGGTAATCATGTCATAAAGTTGTGATAAGTGAAGTGTTTCCAACCTCCAAAACCATCATTTTTCCACAACACCAAATTAGACAGCTTTCTTTGTAACAGATTTTCTTTCAATTTCTTGTAATTAATTGCCCTTATTTTGCCATCATAAAATCATCAATAACCCTACCACCTAATCACAATCAAGTTCAGATGTTCAAGAGATTATAAATCCCTAAAAAGTAATGGATACCAACCTCAAAATAGTGAAGTAATTCAGCTGTCCAAAATTCCAGTGTATTTTTATTTCATTTTTTTTCACTTGGGGTCCCTTTGTTTTGGAGGGTTAAATATCCTATTTAAGAGATATATAAATAGTTTTAAAGATTGGGATCGTGAGTGATACTTAAGGGTGAAGAAAAATGTGGTTGAAGGATAAGTATCCTCAAGCATGAGCTGTCCAAACAGGTTGCGGCTTCTTTATAGCAATACTTGATATATATATATATATATATATATATATATATATTAAATACTAGGGAATAGGACACGAGATTGATACTAGGCCTGGGAAAAAAAACCGTCAAACCACCTAAACCGCCAAACCGAACCGATTCGGTTTGGTTTGGTTCGGTTTAGAGTGGTCAAATAGTTTGGTTTGATTTTTTGTAGAAAAAAATCATGTTGGTTTGGTTTGGTTCATGGTTTGAATACCAAAACCGATGGTTAACCGCTCAACCCGCTACAAATTTAAACCATTTTTTTTCTTTTTGAAAAAAGAAGAAGAAGAAGAAGAAGGATAACTCACAGACAAAGTATGACTGTAGGAATCAAAATAAACATGATAACCAATCCAATCCAAATCCA